GCATCGAGCGCGTCCCTGCAAAAACAAATTGTAACTTTTTACTCATTGAGGGAGCTTAAACAAAACAATAAGAGCCTATCCGTTGAATATGCTCAAACAAAATTTGTTTCTTTATCACAAAATAATGCAAGACTAAAACAGTTTGTTCACATCTAGGCACCAAGGGCTAATCATTCTACAGATGGAACAAAAGAATCGAAAGACATCTAATCAAGATGTCTAAACAAGATAGGATAGTCTCTTCCAATAGCATATAAACAACAGATCAATAGCTAAAGTCTTCAACCATTAACCCTTGATTGATTTGCTTCTTTATTAGAGGAATTGTGTTAACTAATCCCATACTTCACATATTATCTTCCAACATAATCGACGGATTGAATGGCTAATTTCTCTCATGTACAAACAAAATACTCTATTTCTCACACAAAGTATGATGTAGCTGGCCACAAGTATAATCAAAAGCCAACAAGTTTTACTTTCTACTCTTAACAATACTGGATAGCGAAACTAGATGGGCACACAGAGATTATACTAAGCAAGGACATAGTCTCTTCCAGTGACACAACATAAACAGATGATCATAATAAGCTAAATATTTCAACAATGGTTGCTGCTTTTGTTTCTCAATTAGAGAAGTGGTGTTAACTAATCTGCCTACATAATCGAAATCTGGACTAATTTCTCTTAACTTCAAATAAATTACTCTCTTTTCACACAAAGTATGATTAGACCGAGAAGAATCATGTAGCTTACCCTTCAGTGTAGTCGAGCTGAAGAAGATCAAGATACGCATCCCACTTGTTTCCAATCACCTAGACAATCACAAAGTGAAAAGCTTGGTAAAGCTCAAAACTTTATCACTCAAAACAGATTTTTCTAATCGACCCAGAATATATGCAGCTAATAAGATAAGCGAGAGAGAGAAAAGAGCTTTTCTTAGCCAAATTTAGAGTAACTAGAACCCTAAAAAAGAAGGGAGAAATCCATAAATAAGATTCAAATCGCCCAATTCACCAAAGCCGTGGGGGGAAAGAAAACCAACCTTTCCGCAAGTAAAGCATCGAACAGGGATGATCATCTTGAGCGAAGAACTGAAACCTGTATTTGGTCTTGGTCTGTCTCTCTTTCTCGCTTGCGAATTTAGGGCTCTCTCCTTTGATAACGGAGCTACAAAGGTTTAAGAAGCTGAGAAGCAGCTCCAAACGTCGTCGTATTGAGTGAAATCCGACGACTTCGATTTATTGGTCTGATAACCCTAAATTGTCTTCCGGTTCTAAAGTTGTGTCCGGTTTGATTCGGTTCTCTTATATTGGGATTGTACTTAAAACAATCCGTTTTTTGGAGCTACTAAGATTTTTTTTGTAGGAGACTTGTATAAGATTTGAATTTTAAAGAGTGTATTTCTCTTCTAATTATTCTTTCATTTGTTCATTATTACCAACAGGTTCTACATAAACATCTTAAAGGTAATTAAAATTAACATAATATTGTCATCTCATCATAATTACCGAACAAGTCTCCAACATAAGTTTAGTTTAATCCCATTTGTTCAAGGTACTTAAAACTAAACATAGAAATGGCATCTCAATCAAGTCTGCTGCAAAATATTCTAATAGTTCAAAAAGACACACCAAACCCGTAGGTAAAAAAGGATAGAATAGGAAGCAACTTGAGCCAAAGGACCATGATGATGCCTTGCAAGTGCTAACTATCTACGATGCATTTCCATGCCTCTCCCTTTGTATATTTCCAAAGAAGATGATGAGTGCATCCACAACAGTTTTCCTCTCATCCCTCTCCGCATCGCCATCTTCAGTCTTCTCTCCGTTTTTTTGTCAACGAGGCTCCTTCTTCTTCTTCAAACTCGTCCTCCATCTCAGCTATGTACAAGTACCTACAATTTCAAACAAGTATTAGACATTAAGAGCCAAATGTAGAGAGTTAAAACCTCAAAACTGATAGTAAAGGATAAACAAGACTGATATTACCTAGTAAGCTTATCAGATGGAGCCCAAAATAGGCATATGAGTAGGCAGCAGAACATAGGCAAGTATATACATCTGATTCAAACAAACCAAAAATATATGATCTCAGTTACACATTCCTGTGGTTTTGTCATTTCCAAGTTATGTTTACAAAAGCTGTGGAGTGGTTACCTTCACATAAATCAAGGCAATGTTGAGCAATGTCAAGATAACTAGTGCAGTTGCAAACATCTCATAGAGTTGTAGCTTAGCCATGTTCTTCTTAACCTGATACAAAAGAAAATTAAGATTGCATAAACCACAAATAGAAAATTTAAGCAGCAATTACCCAAATTCATATTAACAGTAGCGTCCCTGTGACAAGTGATATCCCTGACATGCTATATAACTAATCAAATAGATACAATTGCAGTTTCTTACCTTGAGTTTCTTAAGGGTATTCCACAAGGATCTGAAAGTCCACTGAATAACGCAATTTTCAACTACAACCCAGAGAAGCATTATAAATGTCAATCCATTTGTAGACAAAGTTTCAAGATGTTCAGCCAACTTGTAAGCTTCTGCTAGAACAAAATAAACGACGCCAAGAAGATGCATCCTCAGTGCTATATTTCCAACGATGGGCTTCTTGACTACCCCATAACCCGTAGTGATGACCAAAAGAAGAAGACGGGACATTGACATCTTCAAGGAAGAAAAAGTTATAGCCCAACATGTAACATCCATAGTGCTTATGCTTGTTGAGTTGAGACCGGTGAATTCATAGTACCGGAGAGCTGATTCACACATGGCAAGCACAATTACCAATGTAATATGAGAGTGCAACTGAATCCTATGATTCCAATGTTGAACAAACCCCGGAAACCAGAATAGTGCAAGCAGAGCATAAGCCCAAAACATATTGGCGTAGAAGCTCTTGAAAGGAGCTTTCTCTCCCGCTAAATAGCCATCTTGATTCTTCCAAACTGATCTTCCTCTGACAACAGTACCATCCAAATCTTGATCACAAGTCATGTAGTGGACAGTATAAAGTCATGTTTCCTTTATCACCAAAGCTTCCGGAGACATTTTCACTTCTTCCTTGTTCTCTTCAAAAAAAGTTGAAATCCTTTTTGACCAGTCAGGTCCACTAGGATCTCTCCTGATTATAACCTCTTCCAAATTGCACGATTCCGCATCTGCAAGCTCTGGTGTACAACAAATGGCATCACTTTTGAACAAAGACCCACCAATTCTTTCGTGCTCCTTAATCTCAAACACTACAGTTTCAACCAATCCTGAAGTTCCCAGCTTCGATTTCTGTTTGCTTGCAGCTTCCTTAGTCCTCACAGAGGTAATGTCATCAAACCTGAACAACATTACCATGAACATACA